CTTAGAATAAAAGTATAAGAGCTAATTAATTAAGCTTATTACTTTATTAAATATACTAGTGTAGAGATATAGGTACAACATAGTTAAGTAATATAGTATATAATTATAATATAGGTGTATTTTCTAAATACCTTATTTTATAGTATATAGTAGTATATATTCTTTTAAAAGTTTTAGAAATTAAAACTAAGCTATAAAGTTTAACGCTTCTAGATCTTATATACCTAGAAAAAGAGATAAAAGAGTATTACGTTCTATATATCTTATACTAGAGGTATAAAGGCACTTAAGTATTATATATATATTTTATTACTCTCTAAAAGCTTTATACAAAAGTAAAGAGTAGAAAAGACTATAACTATAGAGAAATAGCTATAAATATCTAAGAACTTAAAGTATTTAAGGCTATTTCTAAAATAAAGTTATAAAGTAGTAATATATAGTAGTTTATAACTCTAAATCTAATATATAATAAGTATCTTAAGTAAATAGAAAGAGAAGAGTCTTATAAAAAGAGTTTATAAAAAAGAGTTTTATACGTATATATATACTAAACTCTTACTTATAGTTAAAAAGTAAAAAAGTCTATATTTAGCTTTCTCTTTCTTTTTATTCTCTTTATTCTCTATATCTTCTATATCTTCTAGATCTACCTTTACGTCTATCTCTTAAAATATTAACCTATAATAATAAAAATAATAATAATATTAATATATTAGACTACCTTCTAATATACTTTCTAATCTACTTTTTCTTTAAGACAATACTTCTATTAGTTATCTTAGAATATAAGTTAAAGAAAATTAACTTTAATATTTATATTAAAGATATTAAGGCTTATAGATAAGTTTTAAAAAAAGTAAAGCTTTACTTTTTCTATCTAGAACCTAGCTTTAATATTTATAGTAAGCTTAAATACTATATTAAAGATAAAATTCTTAGTATAAAGGTTTTTATTCTTAGTAGTCTCTTTAAAAACTTAATAAGTAGTAGTAGTAGCTCTTCTAAGTATATAGAGTACTCTAAAATATAGTACTAATATTAGATAGCTTTTAACTACGCTAGATAGTATAACTAGCTATTACTTATATAGACTAACTTTATAAAATATATATTATTTACTTCTTAATACTATAACTAGATACTATTAGTACTATTCTAAATAGCTAAGCTACTTAAGATCTTTTTATAAGCTTATAATTAATAATAACTATAAACCTATAACTAAGCTAGTAATTTAAATAAAGTAGATAATTTAGATAATAGAGTAGTACTACTAGCTTTATTAATAAGCTTATAATAGAATACGTAATAGAACTAATAGAATTTAGAAGTATTTATAGTTAGATTAATATATTAGAGTAGGTAGAGAAGTATAAGTGTCTTTAAGATTATTCTAGAGTATATAGACTAGCGTATTTAGACTAGCGTATTAGAGTAGAGAATATATAGCTCTTTTATAGTACTATAGACTTATTACTACTACTACTACTAATTCTAGAATTTTCTTAAGCGTTTAGGTAATTACAACTATAATAGAAGTAGTAGTAGTAGCGCTTTCTTTTAAAAGAGACTATATATAATATAGTAGTAACTACTAGATATTATCTATATAATATTAGTAGTAATAAATAAGTTAATATAGAATTATAAGTCTTTATTATAAATGTATAAGAAAAAAAGTATAAGTAGATAGTAAAAGGCGTTTAAGTTTATTAGGCTTAGTTTTAATAGCTTAAAAGTTTATTTATTTATTTATAGTATAGTATAATATTATAAGATATAATATAGTAGGCTCTATCTCTAAGGCCTAGAAAGAAATTAATTAAGCTTATAAGATCTAATTAGCTATTTAAGAAAATATAATTATAAAGGTTAGTATTTTATAAGCTTAGTATAGTAGGTTAATATAATTTATATTAGGTTACTACTATAAGTAGAGCTAATAAATATTAAAACTTTAGATAGCTCTACTTATAGTAGTAACTTAATATAATATATTATATTAATCTACGTATACTATAAGATATATAATATCTATAATATAGAATAAAAGTAAAAAGATTAAAATAAAAGTAAATATATTATATATAGTATAAAATATAATATAATTATATATATAAGTAAGTATATAGCTAATAAAAGCTTATACTAGCTAGCTAGTAGTATAGGCGTCTAGAGTCTACGCCTAATCTAAGTTTTATAAAGAATTTTAGCACTATATATAGAGCTATATCTTAATTTTATAACTAGTAAGAAATTAGTTTTATTTTATTTAAATACTAAAAAGACTTAAAAATTATTTAATATAGTAGTGTAGTATTTAGTATTAGATTTAAGCTACTTATATTATTAATATATATTTAGAATTCTAAGAGTAACTTATAAAATAGAAAAAGTATACTTTTACTAAGATTTAAGTATATATATTCTAACTATAAAGCTTTTAAATATATTACTCTATTAGTTATAACTAATAAGTAGATATAATTATATTATAATTCTTTTATAAAGTATTTAGTATTTATAAAATAGTTTCTTAGCTAGTCTAAAAGATTTAAAAGCTTTAACTACTTTAAAGATAGTAGTACTAAAACTTTAAGCTTTAGCTTACTTAATACTATACTTTTTAAAGTAATAAATAATTAAGTTATATATTTTCTAGAGTACTAGTAATAGTTTTTACTTTTTTTAGAATTAGTAGCTCTTTAAAGTATAAGTATTACTACTTAAGATTTAGATTTTTACTTAATAACTTTATTTTTAGTAGTTAATTAAATTTTATAAGCTTAACTAATTAGCTTTTATACTTTTATTTTTAAGTTTTTTAGGTATAAGACTTTACTTTATAAAGAAATAAAACTTAAGTATTAAGAGAGATTAAAGAGATTTTGTTTAGTATCTTATAAGTTTACCTCTACTAAATAACTATTACTCTATAGTCTGCGACGCTGCTTTAAGCTACCTCGGTGACACGGCGTTGAGCGTGATGTCATGAGCGGTCCGTTACCTCTTCTCTGCCTAGCGCCCCGTTGCCGAGTCCGCGGAACGTAATGCTTCGCACCACTTGACAAGGCTTGGTCTGCCGCTCTGCCTACCGTCCACCAACCAGCGCGACCCAGGCTTTCGGATCGCAGCGCCCATCGTACAACGACCCGTCTTCTGCTCAGCCGTTGCAGCAAATGTGGAGACATATGCGGAGAAATCTGGGGATACACTGCCTGAGACGGGCGACATGCCTCGGTCTGTTCGAGACATGACGACGACAGGGTGTGAGATCTGAGCCGTGTGCCGTCTCCTGTCAATCAGAGCCATCTCTGTGTTGCGATATAGCCATCATGCCGCGGCTCAGAAAGATGTCATCTCCAATCTGCTCTTACAGCCAACCTCCGCCTTATCCTGCGTCTACACCTTAACGACATCTACGCAAAGAGCAACCTTCCATCATGTCAGAGACGGCAAAGATAGACCACGAGATGACTGAGCATAACGGCGTGAACATCGCAAGCAATGGTGCGCCGTTGAGTCGCCAGGTCACTGTCGCTCTTTCGCCCGAGCAGTACGAGCGTCTCTTCTTCCAGCCATCCGCACCCCGTCGTGGGGATCTCGCAAAGCGGTTCGCCAACCCAACGCTGCTTGGGCTCATCGGATTCTTGGTTCCGTACACTTCGACCATCCTCATTCTGTGCGGGTTCCAAGGAGCCGTCGCTCCGCAGAGCTTGGTCGGCATCAGCGCCGACTACTACTTTTTTGGAGCGTTAGCCATGAACCTCGCTGGCATAGCCGAGTTTATTTTGGGTAACAGTACGGCTTACCTGTGTCTATAGGCGCCCTTCTGTTGGTACTGACATCTTGCAGCGTTTCCCTTCGCGGTCTTCATCATCTATGGCAGCCATTGGGGCAGTTTGGCGTACCAGCAAGACCCAATACACCAAACGACCTCCGCCTTCGGTGAGCTCGGAGGCGCGGAAGGCGCAGCCTACAATGCGTCTCAAGGCTTCCATAACGTTTCTATGTGAGTAATCCCAGCTCGTGTATGCTGGAGTGCAGTCTCTGATGAGTGATCAGGGTGCTCGCCAGCTTCGTCTTCTTGATCGGTACACTTCGCGTCAACCTCTTCTTCACGTTCACATTCTTCGGGCTCGTCATGCTATTCGGGTTCATCGCTGCCGCGGACTTCTCCATCGCTCACGCCACGACTGAAGCCGATATTGAACACATCAACACATTATTGCGATGTGCAGGAGGATTCGGGTTTCTAGGCTTGATCTCTGGCTGGTACCTCGCCATTCTTACCGCTTGCGAAGCCGTGGGAATCCCATGCCCGCTGCCCGTCTTCGATTTGAGCACCAAGGTTTTCCCGGACAAGTCCAAGAACGGCCAAGTTAGTTAAAGCAATGGCTAAATGACTCACAGCCGTTCTGTGTGGGACGCGGGAAGGAGCCACTCTGCTAGTTAGCTACGCGTCCTCGTGTTCTTCACGTACCGCACAATAACCAGTCGCTTAAAGCTTACCGAGGCACTACCGCTGCTGCAAATCCATGCGAAGTGATGTGATGTGACATGCGCCTTATGTTCCGTTGAGCCCGGTGGCTGAATGTCGTTTATTATCGCGGGTCGATCGAGAGACAGCATCATGCAGATCCGGGGCTCGTATACGCGGACGCGGGGTAGCACGGTCAACCCTCACTATGGCTTCACGGGAGAGTAAAATAGCGCGTCTTTGGGTTCCTGTCCGGATCAATTCGCATCCTTGGCTGCATGGTGGTCTTGGGTGTCTTGAGTCGTGAAAGTAATAAAGAGCCGGCTGCCTCAACGTGACAATAACGTCTGGCAGCGGTAGTATACGCATCGTAGCCATGATGCATTCCGCCTCGCCTCTCCTTCTTCTTGGCGCGACTTTGTTGTCGACCACCTACGCTATCGGTCCCGATTGTGTCAATGGTCCATTGAAAGATAACAAGATCTGCGATGTCGATGCCGCGCCCACGGAACGGGCAATGGCCCTCGTTGCGGCTATGGAAAACGAAGAGAAGCTCGACAACCTGATGAGGTAGGCGTTCATTGCGATTTCCTCATTCAAGTAAACTAATTTTCGCAGTAAATCGAGGGGTGTAGCGCGACTGGGCCTTCCTGCCTACAACTGGTGGGGTGAGGCATTGCACGGTGTAGCAGGAGCCCCGGGAATCAACTTCACCGAACCATTCACGAACGCCACCTCTTTCCCCATGCCATTGCTCATGTCAGCTGCATTCGACGACAACCTCATCTTCAAGATCGCTAACATCATTGGAAATGAGGCCCGGGCATTCGGCAATGGAGGTGTGGCCCCAGTCGACTACTGGACTCCAGACATCAACCCGTTCCGTGATCCTCGCTGGGGTCGAGGCTCGGAGACGCCAGGCGAAGACATTTTGCGCATCAAGGGCTACACAAAGAGTCTGCTCGCTGGACTAGAGGGCGATCAAGCTCAGAGGAAGATCATCGCGACATGCAAGCACTACGTTGGCTACGACATGGAGGCTTGGGGCGGCGTCGATCGCCACAACTTTGACGCCAAAATCACAATGCAGGATCTTGCGGAGTACTACATGCCGCCTTTCCAGCAATGCGCGCGAGACTCCAAAGTCGGCTCGTTCATGTGCTCGTACAACGCTGTCAACGGGGTCCCTACATGCGCCGATACGTACGTTCTACAAACCATCTTGCGCGACCACTGGAACTGGACAGAAAGCAACAACTACATCACCAGTGATTGTGAGGCTGTCGCTGACATTTCCGAGAACCACAACTATACAGATACGCTCGCCGAAGGTACAGCAGTCGCCTTCATCGCCGGCATGGACAACAGCTGCGAGTACGAAGGATCTTCCGATATCCCTGGAGCTTGGAGCCAAGGAATTTTGAACGTCACCGTTATTGACAGAGCGCTCACGCGGCAGTACGAGGGTCTCGTTCGTGCTGGCTACTTTGACGGTGCTGGAGCTATATACGCAGACCTAGGAATCGACGATGTGAACACACCGGAGGCACAGCAACTTTCTCTCCAAGTCGCATCAGAAGGTCTCGTTATGCTGAAGAATGACCACACGCTCCCTCTTGCTCTCTCCAATGGGTCTAATGTCGCCATGATCGGATTCTGGGCCAATGACTCGTCGAAGTTGTCCGGTATCTACAGCGGCCCTGCTCCCTACCTGCGCACCCCCGTGTGGGCTGGTGAACAGCTCGGATTGAACATGTCTATTGCCACTGGCCCTGTTTTGCAGAACTCCAGTGCCCGCGATAACTGGACAACGAACGCGCTCAATGCGGCAGAAGGATCTGACTACATCATCTACTTTGGTGGTCTAGACACTTCAGCAGCGGCAGAAGGTTTCGACCGTACCGACATCAGCTGGCCTAGCGCGCAAGTCGAACTCATCACCAAGCTTGCTAAGCTTGGGAAGCCGCTTGTGGTTGTTGTATTAGGCGACATGGTCGACAACTCTCCCCTACTGTCGATGGAAGGCGTCAACTCCGTCATCTGGGCTAACTGGCCTGGTCAAGATGGTGGATTGGCCGTCATGGATGTCATCACTGGCGCGCATGCCGTCGCTGGTCGTCTGCCAATCACGCAATACCCCGCAAGCTACACCAATCTCTCGATGCTGAACATGAACCTTCGTCCTGGTGCCATCAGTCCAGGTCGCACCTACCGCTGGTACAACCAATCGGTACAGCCCTTCGGGTTTGGCTTGCACTACACCACATTTGCGGCGAACTTCAGCAGCAGCGAAGGACTCACCTACAACATCCAGGATATCATGAGCGATTGTTCGCAGATGTATCCCGATCTGTGCGGCGTTGCGCCACTGGAGATTGGGGTGACCAATAAGGGTAACATGACTTCCGATTTCGTCGCTCTAGCTTTCATCAAGGGTGAGGCTGGACCAAAGCCATACCCGCTCAAGACACTGGTCTCATATGCGCGATTGAGGGACATTGCTGGTAGTCAGACGAAGATGGCATCACTGTCCCTCACGCTTGGAACGCTGGCGCGTGTTGACCAGATGGGCAACACGGTCGTATATCCGGGAGAGTACACCCTGCTTCTTGACGAACCTACGCAGGCTGAGCTGAAGCTCACGATCACGGGTGAGGAGACCGTGCTGGACAAGTGGCCTCAGCCGCCAGCATCTTCGTAGGCGATCAGAGTGACACCGCTATTGAGATAGATGAAGATCAAACACCTTTGCAACCCTACGTATTGCCGCTTTCTTCTGTTGATGATGTACTGATTCTGGATCCTAGCGATCGAAGGTCTTGTGCTCGAGATCTGTCACCGATTGCGTTCTTGCAGAAAATGCTTAGCCAGAGAAGACGTCGCCTTAGGCTTGAGTCATTCCACAGGCAACAGGTATAGAGTTTCTCCCTAGGCATAAAGTACTTTTTACCTAGGTAAAAGGTTATATCGTTTATACCTAGGTATAAAGGTTTCTACCTAAGTAGCACGTAGTACACACTTAAGTTGTAGTATTTTCTTAGGTAAAAACGTTAAAACCTAAGCAGAAAGGTTTATACCTAAGAAAAAGACTTTATACCTAAGAATAGAGTTTATACCTAAGAAAAGAAGTTAACACCTAAGAAGATAGGTTTTTACCTAAGTAGACAGGTTTATACCTAGGTAAAAACGTTTGTACCTTAGCAGAAACCGCGACAAGGCATTGATCGTCTACTGCGCCGCTCATGCTTGACAAACGGCGCGTGCGGTACGTGCCTCATCAGTGCATACAGTCACATGATTTAGTGGCGTAGTTTTCGTGACGCAGAACCCTGCAAGGTCTCGCTGATGTTGCAACACCATCCTCTCGAACGAAAACTTACATCGCGATCCAAAATCGACGTCTCAGGGCATTCGCAATATCAGATCATGATGCAGACATTCACACCACTCCAAGTGCCTATGGACAAGTCTCGCGTGAACAGCCTCGACCACGACGGAGACTTCAAGGTCGACGACAACGTTCTTCTCAAGTTTGCAAAGGGTACAAAAGTCATCTTTGCGCACCGCTTTGGAGTATCATCTTGGACAGTGACTGCCCGGCTACATCTTCTATTGTCCGACGGTACCGAAGAACGCTACTTTCTGAAGTCGGCTTCAGAGGCTCATGGTCGCACCTTAATAGAAGGCGAGTTCAACGCGATGTCTGAGCTGTACAAGTGGGCCCCAACTCTCGTGCCCAAGCCGCACTCGTGGGGAAGATACCGAGTGGATGAGCCGGAAGTACACTTCTTCCTTTCACAGTACATCGACATGAGCGACGCAATGCCTGATCCTCATCAGCTGTGTGAGAAGCTGGCTCGTCTTCATCGCGAAAGCGCCTCACCTACTGGTCAATACGGATTCCATGTAACGACATGCCAGGGTCGCGCGACGCAGTGTGTAGCATGGGAGAAGGACTGGACGGTATTCTTCACCAAACTCTTGCAACACGTCATCGATGTCGACTTCGAGTTGAACGGAGCTTGGGATGAGCTCGACAGGGCCGAGAAGCGGCTCATTCGGTTTGTCATTCCTAGATTGCTCGGAGCTCTAACTACGGAAGGTCGTAAGATCAAGCCAAGCTTGATTCACGGTGATCTCTGGGAAGGCAACATCGGTACAGCCATTGACGGCAGTGATGTGCTTCTTTTCGACTCTGCTGCGTTCTACGCCCATAGTGAGCTCGAAGTGGCGGATTGGAGACCTTACTACAACAAGATCAGCAACAAGGTATACTTGGAAACCTATCTGGAGTACCAAGAGCCTAGCGAACCGAAGGAGGAGTGGGACGATCGGAATCGACTCTATAGTATCTACTGGAATGTCATTTACTCGGTCAACCACATTGCCCAGGGTAAAGCGATCCGCCAAGTGTAAGTCGAGCAGGAAGTGATACGGCATAGCTAACACCCGAAAAGCGCCTACAACGATATGCTCTTTCTAATCGACAGATACGCGCCTTTCCCAGAAGGCGAGAGACCTCCGATACTACAAGAGGCTGAGATGGCTTTTCTGTTATCTGAGCGGGATCATACTGTGTAGGGCGAGCTGCTTGGTGAGTGGTTCCAATGCTAGCATAGAGCAATTGTATTATGATCTGCTCTCATACAGAATCCTCCGGAAGCTTATCAGTGATGCTTCAGTTTCCAGCCTTGGTCTCCAACGATGTAATCGGTCCGGAGACTAGGGAACCGTTCTGAGTTACACGACCGTTCCGTACTTGTCTCCAATGCATGCCCTTCCATTGTAGCAGGGCGACGCAAAGTGCCGAGAGTATGCCACTCCACAGGCCTAGAGCCGTAAAATACCATCCTCTACCAGCTGCATTTAGCAAGGGCTCTAAGACTGCAACTCCAGTCGCGGCCATGGCGCAGCGTGTAATGCTTGTAGCGGCTGCAGCAGTACTGGGGCTTTGGGGGAAAGAATCCACTAGCAAGGTGCTGAATGTCGTATAGCCGTAGCAACCCCAGAAACCTTGCATGAATTGTAGGATCAACGGAATAGTCGGGTGGGCGTGATATTGAACAGTCCATCCATAGCCGATCATGGTCGCTGTCGATATCATTAGCATGGCGTAGCTGTATCTTGTCCTTGCACGCTCGACTGGGAACTTCAGAAGGTCATCACCAGATACCTTATCGATGGTCCAGTCGATGCTGCGAGCAATAGCACGGTAATTATAATCCATCATCTTTCCGGTGAAGTAGGCTCCGGCGATGGTGCCAATGCCACGCGGCAGATACGACAAGCCAATGCAAAGCTCGTTCCAATGGTATATATCTTTGTAGATGTCTGGGCCCGCTGCAACAAAGGAGTAGTCCACTGTGTAGAACGATCCGTGAACCCATAAAGTGAGGAAGGTGTCCCTATAGAAGATGATGCGAAAGCAGGCGAGCAAGTTAGACAGTCCGTACTTCCGCTTAGTCGCCTGGAATGGAGCTGCCGCTGATGACACTGCAGTCGAACCTCCTTCATTCAGTCTCTTTACTGCTTTTACCTTCAGCCGTTCTCGTAAAAGGCCTAACCAGCTGTACTGCCACCATTTGTGTCCAGACTTGTCACTGCCATTGCCGACCATGTTGCGAGCTGTCTCGGGGAGGAGCGCGCCCACGCCGACGAACAAGACTCCGCCGACAATGAACAGGGCCCAGAATACCCAATTGATGTTTCCACTCGTGTAAGCCACTACGCCTCCTACGACTGGACCTACACAAGTGCCCAGATTCATGGCCATGCTGATTGGGCCTAGCATCTGTCCTCGTTCGCTAGCCACGCAGACGTCTGCAACGACACCAAAGCTGATGGCATACGCTGCACTGGCCCCGAGACTCTGTATCGCGCGCAGGACTAAGAGAATAGCATAGTTGCGCTTGTTAAGAGCTAGTCCCAAGTTACCGATGACGTACAGGGCCAGAGTGGCCAGGAAGTAGGGTCGCCGGCCATGAACATCAGACAGTGGTCCGAATATGACGGGTGAAATGGCTTGGAAGATGATGTAGAGGGTTATTGTAAGATTGATAGCCTGCGCTGTAGTACTGAACTGTGTGCGCAGCAGAGGAAGAAGGGGAAAGTAGATGGTCGCCGTCAAGGGTGACGTGATAGCTGCTAACCCAAGAAGCGGTCGTAGTTGCCGCCGCTGCGACTGCGTGAAGGATGTGTATTCGAGCGGGCTTGGTGCAGGCGCGTCGTCGCACCTGAATTCTTCAGCATCTTTACCCAGTTCCGCATCGCCGAGTCGCGTTGGGGGTGAGGCAGTAATCTCTCCGGCCATGACGCCGAGCTGGTGCTTGGGCGAGGCTGGTCGCGCGAAGTCTGGCGGGGTAAGGCTTCCGACTGGCGCCTTCCGGCTCGCGGCCATAGCTCGTCACGCGTGCGCCGGCAAACCTCCACCTTCTCCTCACCCAACCCCAGAATACAAATACCCCATCCCTGTACGCGCATCTCGTACAGCTGTCGATCACTCCCTTGAGCTGGTGCGCTATGTCAAACGGTGCAGGCCAAGACGTGCAACATGATGCATCGCGACCAATTCCTCCGTCGCCCGCGCCCGTAGCCAGGAAACGCTGGCTGGTGTGAGGTCATCCAGTATGCAGCACAGCGACCACCGGATATTATGAGCTCGTGATGGGCGATTGAAAACGAGTGCGCAGACTGGCAGTTCTCACCATCAAGCTCGCATCGCAATGGCTACCACAATCTTGCTCTCGGCATGCCTTGCCCTACAAGCAGCAGCCAAAACAGTCAGATCACCCACACCTCCTATGGGATGGAACTCGTACAACACCTGGAACTGCTTGCCCTCTGAGGAGAAGATTCACGAGAGTGCTCATGGCCTCATCGACCTCGGTCTTAGCAACGCTGGCTACAATTTCGTGACAGTCGACTGCGGCTGGAACGCCCATGATCGAGATGAAGAGGGGAGACTTCAATGGAACGAGACCCTCTTTCCATCTGGTGGCAAGGCACTTGGAGATTATCTCCATGATCTAGGACTGGACTTTGGTCTTTACTCTGGCGCTGGGTACCTACAGTGTGGGTCAGAATCGCTACCTGCGAGTCTGGGGTACGAACAACTAGATGCGGAGAGTTTCGCTCAGTGGGGAGGAGATAGCCTCAAGTATGATCACAAGCCTCCTCAATACGCTTTCGCACTTGCTAACGTTATGCAGGTACGACAACTGCTACTCTACTTCCAACACCACGATGGTCGACTCTAGCTCCGCAGAAGCTCAATCACCAGCACGTTTCCAACACATGGCGGCCGAACTAGACGCGGTAGACCGCGACATACACTACTACGTCTGCCAGTGGGGAATTGGCACTGACGTCGGTGACTGGGCTGCTGAGGTTGGCAACACCTGGCGAATCAGCAACGACATCTACAATGGCTGGCGCAGCATCTGGCGCATCACCAATCAGGTCGTGCCATACTTCAGGCACACCACTGCTGGTGCCTTTGCAGACATGGACATGCTGACGTAAGTCGAGTGATCTGTATCTGGAGTCGTCAACTGACAAGTCTAGCGTGGGCCTCAATGCCCTTTCTGAAGAGGAAGAGCGCTTCCACTTTGGCATGTGGGCTATCAACAAGTCTCCTCTCATCATCGGCGCCGCCCTCGATCCCGAACGCATTAGTCAGAGCTCGCTAGACATCCTCTCGAACAAGGAAGTTATCGCCATCAACCAAGACCCACTCGCCCAGCAAGCCATGTTGGTCCGTCGTGACACCGAAAACGAGTGGGATATCTGGATGGGGAAACTCTCGGGATCGAAGCAGGTGCTGGGTGTCGCGAATTGGAAGAACGACTCCCAAGCGGTAGACTTTGATCTGGCAACACTGGGCATAGCTTCGGCCGACGTGCGCGATGTTTGGGCTGCGAAGGACCTTGGTAGTCTGTCTGGTGCCCAGACGGCTGACTTGGCTGGACATGAGCTGCGACTATGGGTTTTATCCAACATCGTCGCAGCCGCCCCTCTCACCTCCGACTCGTACCATTCCGCTGCTAATGCGTCGCTTTCCGGACCAGCACACAACTTCTCCTGCGCGTCCGGCGCATGCCTTCCCACTGGCTCGAAGATTGAGTACATCGGCCGCGCCAGCAGCGTCATGTTTGCCAACGTCAGCTCTCAGTCCACTGGCAAGAACCTCATGGGTATCGACTTCGTCAACTACCACTATGCATTTACCACTGCATGGGAATGGGGCGACAACACACGTAACATGACCATCGCAGTCAATGGTGCTGAGGCGAAGCGATGGGCCTTCCCTCTCTCTGGTGGCGATTGGGAGGAGAGTCTACGACTGCAGATAGAGCTCGACGGCTTTGTGGAAGGTACAGAGAACATGATTGAGTTCCGAGGGTATGGTGACAGCTTTGGGCCGGATCTTGTAGGCTTCGAGATCCTGAACAGCGCTTAGAGATGCCCCTTGGGTAAATACTCCTTGCTTTGGTACAGTTCATACGATCTTTACCTAGGTATAATCTACAGGCTTTTTACTTGGGTATGAACTATAACATCTACTTGGGTATAAACTATACTTCGTACTTAGGTATAAACTACATGCTTTTTACTTAGGTATAAAATATGCTTCGTACTTAGGTATAAACTATACTTTCTGCTTAGGTATTAACTATGCTTTCTACTTAGGTATAAACTGCGCTTTTTACCTAGGTATAAACTATCAAGGTGTGCTTTTTACTTAAGAATATACTATGCTTTCTTCCTAGGTACAAAGCACACACTATTTACCTAAGAAGTAACTACACTTTTTACCCAGCTCTGTAGTTTTTACCCAAGTCTGCCGTTTTTACCCAACTCTATCCTTCTTACCCAAGTCTATCGTTTTTACCCAAGTCTGTCGTTTTTACCCAACTGTCGTTTTTACCTAACTCTGCCGTTTTTACCCAACTATGTCGTTTTTACCCAACCCTTTACTTCTTACCCATCTCTGTCGTTTTTACCCAATCCTGCACTTTATACCTAACTTCGTCCTTTTTACCCAACTCTGTACTTTCCACCTAACGCTGCGAGTCTGTGGAAGATGTGGATGCGAGAGGACGTGACGCAGGCGCATCGTCGCGGCGGGATAAATCGGCCTCTGATGTACATCCGTAAGTATGGCCGTGCCTACGCTTGTGTTGAACGAAGGAAGCTCCGTAGTCGTTGATCAGCGTTTCACCCAAGCATCTTGAGGGGCAGGTACCCCGCATGTGTTTACCCGCGGGTGAACAACCACCGAACGTCCATCATTTAGCTGTCACATCGGTCAGGCTCAACGTTAGTCTACGACTAACGTACAACATGGAGCCTGTTCCGCACACCTCATCGCCGCTGACTAGTGGTTGGGCGTTCAAGCAGGGCGACCGCTCTTCTACCAACGAGTATCTACCGGCCTGCGATGCACCAACTGAAGTCTATCGCGACTTGCTTAAACACGACAAGATCCCAGACCCTTTCCATGACCTCAATGAGCTAGCAGTGCGCTGGGTTGGCGATGAGACATGGACATATCGCACGACCTTTGCTGCGCCTTCCGATTATGGGAAGGCGAACGCGGCCACCACCCTTCGATTTGAAGGTCTCGACACCTTTGCTTCCGTCTTTTTGAACGGCGAAATGATTCTGGAGTCTGACAACATGTTTATCGAGCATCAGATCGACGTTTCAGGCAAGCTTCAGGCTGAGGACAACGTACTCGAAATCGTCTTCGAGTCAGCGCGCAAGAAGGGCCTGGAGTTGGTGGAACAGCATCCAGAACATCGCTTTATCGTACACCAGACAGAGATCTCGCGAGGACCTGTTCGCAAAGCCCAGTACCACTGGGGTTGGGATTGGGGACCTATCCTCATGACATGTGGGCCCTGGAAGCCGGTATCGATTGAGACGTGGGCATGCCGCCTATCATCCCTGAATGTGCAGTACGAACTGTCGCAAGACCTGAAGTCTGCAAAATTGAAGATGAGCGTCGAATGGGAGGGTACGACCACGGGTATACTTTTAATGGTCTCGAAGGACGGAGAAGACATTGACGGTATACGGACCACCATCAATAATCGCAAGAGTCCCCTGGAAAGTACTATTACCATGGACAATATCGAGCTCTGGTGGCCGCGAGGCTATGGGCAACAAAGTCTTTACACCATCAGAGCAGAAGCCATTGTGCAGGGTGTCCCGAATCCCATTCACCTCATATCCAAGCAGTTTGGCTTCCGCCGCACCGAGCTGATCAAAGAGCCAGACGCACACGGCACTTCTTTTTACTTCCGCATCAACCATGTCGACATCTTTTGCGGAGGCTCGTGTTGGATACCCGCCGACTCGTTTCTCACACGGCTTAAACCCAATGACTACCGCGATTGGGTGAAACTCGCGGCCGACGGCAATCAAACCATGCTAAGGATCTGGGGAGGCGGCATCTACGAAGCGGATGCGCTATACGATGCCGCCGATGAGTGTGGCGTGTTGATATGGCAAGACTTCATGTTCGCATGTGCCAGCTACCCAACCTACCCCGAGTACTTGAAGAGTGTGGAGATCGAAGCAAGACAGAATGTTAGACGGTTGAGAAACCACCCCAGTCTAGTGGTGTGGGCAGGAAACAATGAGGACTACCAGATCGTCGAACGATACAAACTACAATATGACCCTGACGACAAGGATCCGAAATCCTGGCTCAAGACCGACTTCCCAGCCCGCTACATCTACGAGCATCTTCTGCCAAAGGTAGTTGCAGAAGAATGTACAGATATACCCTACCACCCCAGCTCACCCTTCGGTGATGGCAAGTCGACGGTCCTAGGAGTGGATCCTACAATCGGCGATGTCCACCAGTGGAACATGTGGCACGGTACCATGGAGCCGTATCAACGATTGCCGCAGATGGGCGGACGCTTCGTATCCGAATTTGGCATGGAAGCATATCCTCATGTTTCCACACTCGAGATGTGCATCAATCACCCGAACGACCTCCGTCCTGGCTCGATGGCCATGGACTTCCGCAATAAAGCCATAGGTCATGAGCGACGTCTCATCAGCTACGTGTCTGAGAACTTCCGGGTTCAGTACCTTCTGAAAGGCTATACACATCTTACCCAGGTGATGCAAGCGGATGCGATGTCCTGGGCTTACAAGTCCTGGCGCCGCCAATGGGGATCAGCTGGGCATCGCAAATGTGGTGGTGCGTTGGTATGGCAGCTGAATGACTGTTGGCCGACGATATCATGGGCTGTGGTGGACTATTACAAGGTACCAAAGCCAGCGTACTATGCTATCAAGCGTGCCATGCAGCCCATCACTATCGGCGTTCAACGCAAGTGCCAAAGTTGGACTGTGCGACCCGCTGATTCACTGTGGCAGCGTGATACTGGACACATCGATATGCAAAAGCTGTGGCAGGACGTCGAATACGACCTCTGGGTCTCTAACAGTACGCTGATGGAGGCCGAAGTGGATGTTGCGATACGTTACATCTCAATTGGCACAGGAAAGGACATCAGCACTGAAGAGCACAAGAAGATACGCATTGCGGCCAATGGAACAACCGAGATACTCACTGACCATGTCGTCAAGGTCGATGATCCACAAGAGCCGGGTGGACCTTTTCGTACATCAAGAGCCGACCCTTTCGTCATCCAAGTGTCATTATACAAGGGTGGTCAGCTTCTCGCAAGCGACGTGTCCTGGCCTGAGCCGATCAAATATCTCACTTTCGATAATCCAGGCGTACATGTGCGCTACTCGGAAGATAAGAAGACAGTATTCGTTTCTTCCGCGAAGCCAGTCAAGGGCTTTGTGTTTGACGAGGATATCGAACATCGTCTGAGTGACAATGGGTTTGACTTGGTACCGGGGGAAACGAAAGAGGTGCAGGTGGAAGGCCTGCCGGCGACAACGTTGAAGTGGAGATATGTTGAGATGTGAAAGCTACGACCTGATCCTTTGTACTTCAGTCCAATTAGTTCGCTACGAAGCGTCCCAAAAGCTATCTTCGGAATCGCTGTCCTCATCTGCAGAATCGACAGGCCTCTCGCTGACTTTCCAGAAAGCTGTGGGTCCAGCAGGGCCATGACTGAAGTTTGGTGTATGAAGTTAGCACGCGTCTCACTTCAATTCGTACATCAATACCACTTACGCATCGAAGTCCTTGTCAAACCACGTTCCTACAACACCGCGTGGGCAGTGCAACCCACCAACTTGTATACCATCACTGCGCCATCGCTCCTCACCGCTGTCGCAAAGTCAGTAATACTCTGCCCACTACATCGGCATAATTCTTTCTACTTACCCTTGAAATACTGAGATAGTCTGCCAGCGAACCTCTCCTTCCGGTGTCAAGCTAACAGTGCCGCGAATACCAGAGTTGGCATTTGGATCCCAATGCGCATCTACGGACTTCGATTTGCCTCTGAAATGAACAATGGGTAGCTTTGAGTTGTCGAAAGGCCCTGGTGCTGTGACGTCTGTGATGCGCAAGTCCATAATGATGTGTCTGATGGCTTCGTCGGTGTTGAGTGCGTCTCTCGGCTCGTCGGAAGGAACTTTCATCGCCTCGGTGCTGAAGTTGTAGTGGTACAAGTCGTTGTAATCGAGGAAACATACGATCTAGATGTCGTTAGAGAGACTTTGAGTGCTCGGGCGATATGCAACCTACACGCGACCAGATACCTTCCACTCCGTATGGATCCTTCATGTTGAGGGAAATGTCCGGTTGTTGTACCAACGCTGTATAGTTCCGTGCGGCGCCCATCTGATGAGCGTCTTCCGGAATCACGCCATCAAGTGGAGCAAACCATGGTGGCCGGAGTTTGTTCGATACGGTATGCGTGCAGTAGCAGGAGTTATAGCCGATGACTATCATGATGCTTTCGATCATCTCCCAATCCACTCGCATGGTGCCATCGTCACGGAAAGGTCCCCACTCGTTGTTATCGGTGTAGTTTCGCAGGTCGTATACACGCGATCTGGCATACGGGTTTGTTGAGAGATCTCTTCTTCCAGCGTTGGATGGCGGGAAGCCGAATAGACTGTGCAGTCTTGCGCTCAGCTGTCGACTCTCTTCATCCCCAGCTGGCCTCTGCTTTCCTGTACCGGCACGGTCGAACAGGGAAGATCGGCACATGAAGGCATCATGATTTTGTGCGATACGCTGGAACTGGTCGGTCACTAATCGCTTGTTGTGAGTCACGCCATCTTCATCTTGTGACATCGTGGCGATAAGCTCGTCGACGGTCGTTGCGACGAATGTGAACTCTTCTCTCTGTTACCGCTTAGCAACATTGCCTGTAGATCGAAACTGAAACATACCTTGAGGTCATTGTTGGCAGAATCGAGGATCTTTTGACATCTCACTACCCTCTGCATCGCTCCTACCCATTCTGGCTCAGGATCGGCCGGTCTTCGGCGTCGAGGGTCGTCCTGCCACATCATTAGACTCCATGATATATGAGCGAGCAAAGGATGTCTCATACGAAGTGCTTCAGGTACAAAGTCTTGTAAAGTCGCTTGTTCTCCTTGATGAATTGGTTGAAGCCTCTGGACGTTTGTGCACATGCCGCGAGGTCGTGAGGATCTATCTCCTCCAAGATCCCGATCAGAACATCATAACACAGGTCTAATAGTTCGATCATGACTGTCTCCGTGAAGTGAGAATGCTCAAAGCAGTTGGTAGCGAAGGTGGAAAGCGGAGACAAATCAAGGGTCCAAGTGGTGACGATGTGGGGTCCGGAGATAACGCCTATCCCCGTATAGTTCGCAGCGGGCTGACGCCACTCTAATAGTTGCTCGTTCTCTGAGTACTGCGCGTTACTTGGTGCTTGCTGAGACTACTGTGTAACATGAGAATGTTTGTGTAACGAAAGAAGACGCCACAGTCTCGAGCGACAGGCTGGACACCTGCAAACGTCACAACGGGCGCTAGCGCAGCTTTTAGTCAGCAGGCAGTCGGAACGCCGAAATCCATCAGTTTCTGCCGACGCTTCAACTGATATCACGCATCATGCAATTTGCCAGGGCGCAGCTAAAATTGCACAAGAGGGGACGCAACATCCCACAGAAAGAAGACATGTTGAACATGAAAGCAATGCAATTGGGGTATCTAGGTCAAGCAAACTACCACTCTAATCGATCATCACACGTCAACCGTACATCCCACCTGTCGTCTCCCTTCCACACCTCACCACCCTTGTTGTTCTTGGCGACTATCCGCCTAAGATCGCTAATCATACCACCGGGTCCCGAAGCAAACACCTCGGTGCCTCCTCGTACAGTGCCGGCAACGAACTCTGACACTATAGTATCTAGGTCAGGCCTTGCTTGGATGTGGTTGAGGCCCAACTCCGACTTTGCGACACCGTGAACTGACAGTGCAGAGGATGCGTCGGCAGATGAAGAGTCAGAGGCGGAATTGATCTCCTTGGAGCACTCGTTGGGCGCGGCCTTCTCTGAGACTGTGAGATCGAGGTTGGCTTCTTCTGCGGCGCGGGTGACGTAGATGTGAATACCGGTGCGTAGATTCCGGCACTTGCGCTTGAGGGTAGCAAGTTCGGGGCCGACCCAGTCGATGTCGCTCCTTCGGCGTATGCTCCATATGAGCGTCATGTGACGGTCAGGTGACTGAGGGCTGGAAGCGAGGTCGAGAAGTACGGGAAGGACGTAAGCGATACCGGTGCCGCCAGCGATGCAGAGGATGTTGGAGTTGGCAGCAAGACCACGCATGGTACGCTCGCCGTAGGGTCCGGTCATGACGACAGAGAGGCGGGCGTCGGCCATTAGGCTCTCGTGCGATTCTTGGTGGCTTGACATGTTCGCGATGCGCTTCATGGACAGGTCGGCAATCTTCTTCGTCTCTCCGCCCCTTGCGCGGAAAATGTACGAGTGGCGCTGGGAGTCAGCGCCGTAGACCGGGCGGCTGATTGGTGTAAATGGGTGGGACTGCCAGATGGAGCTGTCGGGGAAGGTGAGGTAGAAGTGCTGGCCGACTGCCCAGGCATCTTGAGGGTGGTCGAAATCCAGTCGCACGACATCGCCGTTGACCTCGTCCTTGAAGAGCGCGACGTTTGCAGAAGCGGCGCGGAAACCCATATGGCCGGAGGGCAGGAAGTTGTAGTGAAGGAGTGCTGACCTGGCGAACCGAATAGCGCGGTCGACGAACCAGACGAGGAGTCCGGGTAGGAGGAAGACCTTCAGTTGCTCCCAGTGTCCCCAGCACGCTCCAATGTACACCATGGCGAGGACGTAGTGGGCCTTGCGGAAGAATTCGTAGCCAGTGAGTCGGATGCCCCAGGGAGTGGAGAGGACAACCATGAGGAGCAAGAGAAGCATTGCGACTATTCCCCAGATGATGTACTCTTGGGAGACCAACTCCTTGATAACTTGTGGCTGGGGTTGATAGAGCTTAAGCTCGATAATCAGCCAGCCGATGGTGTGGAGGGTGGACTGGATGAAGATGACGTATCCCAGCCAGCGGTGGAGGAAGTTGAAGCTCTGGTATGGCAGGCCAGTGACGAGCGACAAGATAGACTCGCGCGTCGAGAGCATAACGGAGAGGGGGGTAAGGGCATATGCGATGACGCCAATGCGGTCTGACCATGGTCCGAGACTGGTACGGGTATTGTAGACGCCGGGATACTTCTTTACGGGCGTGATCCATTGCTGGTAGACGATGCCGATAAAGGTGAAGACGGTCAGGTACGCCGTCAAGACGATAAGGGTCAGGACCTGGGTGCGAGTGACGCGTCCGAAGATTGGTCGCGCCGCATCAGGCAGAAGGTATTGCCGTGCGTATGATGGAACTGCCCGTTGAAGTCGTTCGAATGCGCTGCGTCTCTGCGGTACTCCTTCTCCTGCTTCTGTTGGTAATTGCACGCCGGATGGCTGCGAGGGCGCAAAGTGTCGGCCAACGCCCCACACCAGCAGAATGGCGCCGATGGTTGCCCATACGATGCCCATGTAGAGCATGCCATTGTCGTGACTGCGGTAGACAACGTCGAGGTACAAGCAGGAGCCCGGGTCGCTGGTGCAGGGGACGAGGCGATCTGCGTAGCCCCAATGCGGCTCGACAGCGCTCGCCTCGGAGTAGTTCTGGATGTGCGCACGCGCGACGAGCATGTCAGCGGCCATGGTCAAAGCAAGAATTGAAGATGCGATGCGTGCTGCATGTTTCGGGGTGGAGTGCGCCGCATATGTATATGACCTATCGCCGGCCGGGCATTGCACACCGGAAACGTGGTGAGCACGTTTCGCAAAAACGCGGGCCAAGGCTTCGAGAAGTGGGCGGCGACGCTTAGGCGGGTCTTTGGGCGGTTCCCGCTCTCTTGGGGCCATCAAAGTGGCTAGTGCGAGTGTGTTTGAGCAAGTTCCCCCATATTTCGCGGCGCGATTGCCGGCTTGTTTGCTCGGGCCAGACTGTCGTGAGACGGCATCTCGTTCCTACATATCATGGCGCCGCATCTGCAGTCGCAGGGTCTGGTCCGACGTCTGCTATATCATTTTGACAGTCCTCTTCCACGGTTCGCAATAACTGCCCAACCAAACTCCACATCCTAAGAACACCATCGCCATCATGCACGGAATGACAGGAATGGCGGGCATGGAGCCCAACAGCACTTGCGTCACAGAGGTTTGCAGTCCACTTCTTACGCATATGATATCATGACTAACGTTCTCTAGATGCTGTGGAATTGGCGTGTCGAAGACGCCTGCTTCCTCTCCGAATCATGGCACGTGACCAACAACGGCATGATGGCCGCAAGCTGCATCGGCGCAGCTCTCCTAGTCGTCTGCCTCGAATTCCTGCGAAGAGTCAGCCACGAATACGATGCTTTACTCCTGCGCCAATTCCAGCGCCAACTGAACGCACAACGGGCGGCTCTCGCTGCTGCGACACCCACCAACTGCTGCGACGGCCCCACCTCGACTCTCGGTCTCCAACACGCTACCTTCCGCGCCACGGCACTGCAACAACTTGTTCGCGCTTCAATTCACGGCTTGACTCTCGGTCTTGCGTACATCATCATGTTGCTGGTCATGCACTTCAACGGATATATTTTCATCTCCATCATACTGGGTGCTGTGCTGGGCAAGTTCCTATGCGACTGGATGGTGGTCAGGATACCATATGGTCAGGTCGATGAGAAGGACACAAGACGCTCTTCTATCGAAGCGGCAGGGCCGACTGGTTGCTGTGCGTAGATAGTGTAGGCAAGCTGGTGGCGGCGAACTTTGACGATTAGATACCCTATGACTGCGATTTTGCGAATGAATTCTTCTTCCTTCTAAGCCATAGTCTCTTGACGTGAGAAGTTCGATCAGACTGTGAGATCCATGCTACATGTCCCAACTGCTCATCAGAATTCGCTAGGGCACGTACATCGCTCTTGCCGCGGAAAGGTGTAGAACGCACCTGCCAGTACATCAGCTGCAGGGAAACTGCGAACAGCAGAGTCAACCAATCGGAGACCCTCCGTATAGATGATCCACGTGTGTAATGCCGTGGGATGAACCGCCCGCATTTCCGGATGACATCCATGGTGGCAACCAAAGTCAAGGCCTTGTCGGCCCTACTATTGATACCGCAATAAACTACCTCTGCAAGTCTCGCCCGGTGGTCCTTTTCGTTGAGCACCTTGTGCATCTCGGCCGTTGAGACCAGGTCATAGCTAGGTAAGGGTGGGGTTCTGTGGACCAAACCCCACAATAGTGTGGATAGAATATACAAAAGCGTTCTTTTGCGCAAGTTGTGGCTATGGGCCAAGTATCGATTGAGGGCTTGGTTCGGAGGTAGTGTCAAGAAAGTGAACGCCAGGTGGCGAGTGACAAGCCGGTACTTTACAGATAACTGACTTTTCTTTTGGACATGGTTCGCGCAGATTATGACCAGGTGTCGACTTTGGGTCGAAAATCTAGGCCGACGATACTTAGGTAGTGACGGTGTTGCTACTGTAGGTAGTCCACGTCCGATGCCGTTCCTTTATGATCTCGCATGAAAGTTATTCTTATCAATCGTGGCCGTTGTGGGATATCTGTATTGCGCATCGTCCTGAGTGCTTCGATGGAGCTTGCGAACTTTACGCTGTTATGTCCACATGCGAAGAATTGTTCGCAGCCTGTACGCTGGGCTTCTCCAACACAGCAAAATACGTCTACTCGAACTCATCGGGTCACCGCTATGCAACTAAGTCTCTCTCCACCCTCGACTACATCTTCTCATCGAGTATCAAATAGCGTGTGTGAAGGTGATGTTGTGTTTGACGGTGAGTACTCTCTCACTGCGTAAGGGCGTGAGAACGCGCCATTCTCTCACCTTACCCAGCGGACGCTGGTATATCAAGACGCAGTTTCTGCTTCCTACTCACGCCTTCCTGCTTCACCAAACTTTTAACCACTACCAACATCACCAGACACAGCAACAACATGGCAACTGGATTCGCAAGTCCGGGTGGAATTGAGCATTGCGCTCATGGAGAGGCTGTTTTGAAAAGGTATGCTGCTAATGCAACCCTATCGACAAGCTATCACTGAATCGAAACCACCTTCAGTATACAGAACGGTACGATTGGCAGCATTCATCATCGAGCAACTGGCCGAAAATGGTCGGTTCACATGATGCTGGTCGAGAGCGAATGCCAGGCCGACCAGTTGGAAGAGGACATCTACGAGGACTGCTATCTTTTAGGTAGTGAGCATGACCCGGCAATATTCGACTTGTTCGTTCAGTGGCTGTATACCCGAAAATATCAAGAGAAGGAAGAACTGGTGGAGTCTCTGGCATCTCGAAAATCTCTATCATCCCCGCTTCCTAATTCAGAGGACGTGAGCTGGATTATTCCACCTGATGGTGTAATGGACTGGGCCGTCAAAGCAGCGATTCTGTGCTGGGAGCTCGGCGCGAGCCTGAGAGCGAAGGGTTTTCAGAACTACGCCATGGAGCGCCTCTTCGAAGCCCTCTCAAGTCCGTTCTTACATCCACTGATGGCCAATTTGATCCTCCACACCTACGAAGTCGAAAACGAGGGAACTTTGTACGGCACGTCGCCGCTACAGAGGTTGATACAGGACGTCATCGTTCGTAATTGGGGTGATGATGACGTTGTCGACCACGTGGCTGGAGAAGCATGGTCGAACTTACTCAAGACTTGTCCCTATTTCCGCAAGGTCTTTATCTCAGCGACCAAGCAGTCACTTGAGAGGAGGCGAAATCAGCAGATAAGCTTGGAGAATTATCTCATTCGTTAGGCTAATGAGATGGCGACACAGCGAAAGTGAGTGAAGAAGATGGATGAGGCAATGAGCTGAGCATATGATCGGAGAGGGGAGGTCGGGTTGGAGCGGTACCTAAGAGCTAAGGTATCAGCTTTCTTGAAGGGAGTTATCGAAAGATCGAAGAACGCAAGGAAACAGACATTAGCCGACCATGCAACGCAAGGAAACAAGTATTAAGTATACCCATGGTTTTTTTGTGCACTCAACAGTGTCTCGACACCTCCACCGCTACATTTGATCATGATGATCATGCGCACAGAAGCCTCCACTTCATGCGACTTGACGTTGAACATCAGTGGTGGTCCGAAGGTTTACGTTCTAGTACTCGCGGCGCGAAACACACAGCGCGATCCATACCTCCCAGCATGCACAGGGTATTGCAAATGTCGCGGCAATCGCATGCTACAATAACACCATGTAGATGTGGCAACGAACGACCCGGCCGGGGAGTACGCGAAGCATGCTGTGGCGTGTGCAGGTCGACGTAGACATGTACGCAACCGATCGCAGCTGGCAGGTACGCGACGCGCGCATGTCCGATGGTCGGCCGCTGACATGACTCGTGCGCGTCCAGTGCACCTCTGCGCGACCACCGACTGACGACGCCATCGCTCCTCCTCTTTCTGCTCCCCGGCATCACACGGAAAGCATCACGTTCGGTTTCCAGGCTGGTGGATGGGTGGATCTGCGCTCAAGAAAGCCTTTCCTGCTGTCGGGACCCGAGGATGAAGGATTAGCCGCCGTTAGCACGCCTTTCGCACGAGCACCCCAACCGTCAACCCCACCTACGCCAACCTGCCAGACCCTTGATTCCGCTCATAGCAGCAGCGACGTTGGGATGCGATTGGACGCAGGCGACTGAAGGAACGGTATGCTTGCGCAGAAATGCTTCCCGAACCCCATTTGACCCTATTGTACCTTTCTTCCCGCTTCTCTACCCACTTCTATTCTTTCCTATCTATGAGGCCGCCACCACGGTACGAGCAAAGTAGCAAATTCTGCAGAAACCCCGAGCCAGCTCCACCGCAAGCCCGGCGGCTATCAAGTATTGGGAGCACCATCGGCAGGTCCGTAGTCGCAGACTAAGTAGCATCATCTCCCTCGGTACCCCCGCTTTACGAAGGCATGACGGAGCAGAGGGCAAGCAGTGGAGTGGTACAGGCAGGCGTCGTGGCTTGCGGGTTTTGATCAGATAATGATTAGATCGAAAATTTTCATCTGATAACCCACGCGTCACGCCACCGCGCGCTCCCATTGGCCCGAGATGCCGGCTGATTATCGAGATAAGATTTTGGAGGCTGTCTGGGCCGTGCTTGGGAAGGCTTAATTCCGGGGAACCAACTGCTTTCAGGAAAGTCAAGCTTCGGTGCATGATGCTAACAGGGAGCGAGCGCGTGATATTCACGACTATTACCCTGTTCATGGTGAGCGTGAACGGAATTCCCCACCCAGCGACGAGGAGCCGGTAACCGGGCGCGTCTCGGAAAGGGCCTGCGGTGGAACTGCGTGGATCTGCGTTTTCGGTATATGAACCTGAGGCGCGCGCGGTACCTTGTCTTATCAATCTCTTCATCTCGTTTCCATCACAGCCTCTCTTTTGGTGTGCTTCTACACCTATCGCGAAGATGGGTTTCACTTTCAAGGGATTGACTACCAGTGCATTGGTCTCTGGCAACAACAAAAATGCCGATGCCAATGAGAAAGACATTGCCGACGTGCCTGCTTCGTACCAGGGCCACACCAGCATGGATGCTGCTCGTCCTGACGAGAAGGTCGGCAGCCCAAGGGAGTCGGCCAGGAGTCGAGAATCGGATGAGGAACTGAACAAAGTCGACACCACCGCGGAGACAGGTGTTCAGCATGTGCAAGCTGCCTCGCTCCTGTGGAAGAAGCGAGACCTGATCCTCGCGTACATTGCGTAAGTCACTCCCTCCACACTGCTCCAGAGCTACACTAACGACAACAGCATGTGGTTCATCCAGTTCTTCACTGCCTACGCATCCAGCACCTCAAGCACCCTCGCACCCTACGTTACCAGTGACTTCCAGCTGCACTCCTTGACCGCCCTGACCAGCGTCATCTCCTCCATCGTCGGCGGTATCTGGAAGCTACCATACGCCAAGATCCTCAACATCTGGGGCCGACCTTTCGGTCTCGGCCTAGGTGTAGCCATCTACGTCCTCGGTCTCATCCTGATGGCGAGCTGCAACAACGTCAAGGCCTACTGCGCGGCACAGACCTTCTTCTACGTTGGCTCCAACAGCATCGACTTCTTCATCACGGTCTTCATCGCCGATACTTCCAAGTTGAGGAACCGAGCGTTGTTCATCGGATATGCGTCGTCTCCATGGCTCATCACCACCTGGATCTACGGTTACGGTATCAACAGCATCACCGCGCCTGGCGGCATCGGCTGGCGATGGACTTTCCACATCTTCGCCATTATTGCGCCTATAGTGACCTCACCTCTCATGCTTCTGTTCATCATCTACGAGGGCAAGGCAAAGAAAGAGGGTCTCATCACTCCCCGCCCCAGCCGCGGTAACTTTGCTCAAACGCTCACGTACTACCTCCGCGAGTTCGATGCCGTAGGCCTTCTGCTCCTCGCCGCTGGACTATCCCTCTTCCTCCTCGCCTTCAACATCTACTCCTACCAAGCCAAGCAATGGGCGTCACCCCTAATCATCTGCTTCCTCGTATTCGGCGCCCTCCTCGTCGTCGCATTCGGTCTGTGGGAGAAGTACGGCGCACCCGTCACCTTCATCCCATGGCCGCTGCTCAAGAACCGAACTGTCATCTTCACCTACACCATGGCCGGTTCTTTGTACATCGGCTGGTACTGCTGGGACTCGTACTTCTACTCGCTTCTTGTCGTACTGTTCGACCAGAGCCCCGTGCACGCTACTTGGATCGCCAACATCTACACCATG